TCCATGGTAGAATTTATTGGAACTGTTGAATAGCTGCTTTAGGGATGTGGTCTGCTTCCAGTATATAAGAAGCAACTTTGAGGAAGGTCTCCAGCTTATGGTACACTTGAACCCTGGATGTAGCTGAATCATTGTTCAGCAGCCTGCCATGCTCTGCAGATCTTGGGACTTTCAATGGACTTGAATCAGTGGCCTGCCGTGTTGTTTGGTAATATCGGGACTGTGCCTTTTTACTTGTTGGACTTGGGTTTGTCAGCCTCAGTAGCCAGCAGCTGCCTGGGTGAAGAGATGCCTCTAGCTTCAGTGGGCTGGGAGCAGGAGGCAGAGCTGAAGCCCAAGGCTGAGGGGCTTTCACCCAGTCCCTAGAGACTGGCACTTTGAACTTGGACTCGTAGCCTCCAGAAATGTAAGAAAATAAACTCCTGTTTGTTCAAGCCATCCCATTGGTGGTATATTCCTGTCAGAGTGGCACTAGGGAACCAGAACATGCTCACATTACCATCTTGCTCTTTTTTCTCCCCCTGAGTGTATTATAATCACAACAGCACCACTATCTTCAGACCCTGACCGCTTGGAGTCACTGTTTTGTGTAGCTTGAAAGCCCTGGGCTGGAACTCTGTAACTGATGGTGGCATGAACCTCCATGGGCCCAGCTGGCAGGAGAGCAGCTGAACAGCTGCAAGAGAAAGCTTGGGGAAGCTGGTTCCTAGCTGCCCCATCAGAACTGCAAATGAATGAGCAAACCAGATCAGCTTGGTGAGGCACAGGACCGATACCCACCCATGGCTTTGGTCTGAAAGGATGCTAGCAGTAGCCCAAGTACTCAGGCTGGAGAGCTTTTTATGCTTACAAATTCATCTTTGTGTCTGCCATTCTAGCAAAGATCCTGTCTGATAAGTGGAGTCGAGCAGAGAGGAAATGAAGCAATTCTCCCCTCAGTGTTTCTGGAGATGGTGTGGACAAAGAGGATCACAGAGATGGGCTTGGGCTGGAAGCCAAGCGTCAAGGCAGCTGTGTGGGTCCTCAGATGGCACGTGTAACTTCACTGTGGCTCATTTTCCCACCAATACGTGGAGGCAAAGAGAAGCTAAAATGGGGGCATTACCAGAGACAGTGCGACACAAGCATTGCTCTCCACTGGGGACGGCCTCGTGGGAGCCCTGGAGTTGACTAGTAGGGATCAACCTTGCCTATACAAACTACCAGTTTCAGTAGAATTCTCTCCTTCTACACAGGAGACTTGGACTCAATTCCTGGCCAGTGCCCCTTAAGCTGTGACCACGCCTCTGTCCATGGAGGCTGGAGGCTGCTGCAATGCTGAACGGGTTTCAGCAGAGCTTCCAGACCAAGACAGACAAGAAAGAAAGGCCTGGCAAGCAATTTTTGAAACTCAGCCAGTGAGACCCTCTGGATCCCCGCGGCCCAATCCTGTTGTGCACGGGGCAGGCTCTGTGATCCAGCAGCTCAGTCAGTGGCCACTAACTCATTTCCTGAGGCTGACATTTCATCTTGCTAAATCTCAGTTTCCTGGCCTTAACAGGGGAAACAGCTCCGCCCCCCAGGATTACGCTGAGTACTGCCCAAAGATAATACTGTAAAGCTGTTGCCCTGGCCTTTGACAGTAGAATAGTCAGTACATGAACCAGTGCTTTCAATACACTATGCACGGTGGACCCTGAGCCCCAAGACTCCTCAAGGTCACCCAAGTGAAGACACCCAAGGGCAGAAGCTAGCAACACCCTGCACATTTATGCCACACATCTGTTGGTTCTTTCTCTGGCTGGAAGCTTGCTTGACTTGCTCAGAATGTGTGAAGAAGCAAAGCCTCCTTTGGAGGGGATTACAGGAGAACAAAGGCACAGCCAGTGTCCCAAGGCACCAGCACTTCACACAGACTCTGATGATAAAGAAAACAACCTGTATTTAGCGAGGAAACTCCTTATCTGTTTAATTGATTTGCTTTTGTTTCACTGAATAAAGGCCACTCCTCCCAGAGGCTAAGCCAGGGCAGCCAGCGAGCTGACAATTAAGGTTACATGAGGATCCGCTGAGAATCCAGCAGACAAGGCGCTCAGCAGCTGCTGCTGACCCCCGAAAGGAAGGTCAATTGGCAGCAAACAGCAGGGACACTGGGTAGGTGTGCTCCGAGACAGCGCCACCTCCCCAGTGTCTGTTCCCGCAGACTCTCTCTTGTCCCGTCTTGAAGGTCTGCTGGGTGCAGTTCCTGAAGCAGGAGTCTTGGCTACATCAAAACCCTAGAAACCAGTTGCCCTCACATTGCCTGCAACTCATGGTAACCCCATGTGTGGATGAAAGAACCTTTCTCTTAGCAGCCAAGATCCTCAACCATTTGTACCACCAGGGATAAATGCTAGACATCTTCAGTTGCCAGCCGGGACCCAATAGACCTGTACACATTCCAACCCGATACACCACAGGTGAGGAGCTCTGGGGGGGGGGGCAGTGGTTGAGTGCTCAGCTGCTAACCAAAAGGTCGGCAGTTTGAATCCGCCAGCCACTCGGCAGGAGAAAGATGTGGCAATCTGCTCCCGTAAAGATGACAGCCTTCCAAACCCTAAAGGACAGTTCTACTCATGAGTGGGAATCAACTCCACAGCACCCAAGAACACACCATGGGTCCAAGGCTTTGTCATCACAGCACAGTGCTGTGCGTGGTTTGCTTCCTGTTTGCTTTTTTATAGTAATAATAATGAAAGGAGCTCTGGTAGCATAGTGCCTAAGGCACTTGACTGCTAACCAGAAGGCTGGAGGTTTGAACCCAACAGCCAGTCCTCGGAAGGAAGGTTGGGCAATCTACTTCTATAGTGATACGGCCTCGGAAACCCAAGGAGGGGTCGCTATGAGTCAGGCTGACTCGATGGCCAATAACAACAATAGCACCACCACCACCAATAATAATAATAAATTCAACACCACCATCAACAGGGCTGAGAGCAGGGGTAGTGAATGAGGCATTTGCCCTGAGTGCAAAATCATTAAAAAAAAAAACAACAACAAACCCATTGCTGTCAAGTCAGTTACAGTTCATGACACCGCCATGTGTTACAGAGCAGAGCTGGTCCAGAGGGTTTTTGGCTGTAGTCTTAACAGAAGCAGCCAGCCAGGCCTTTCTTCTGTGGCTCCACTGGTGGATCCGAAGCCCCAAATCTGAGGGACTTTCAAAAAATTCAGCAACTAATATACATAATACAGTTATCGGAATTTTTTAAAAAAGTAAAACTGGATGCAAAAAGTAAGTTCAAGATGCACAAAATATCAAATTTCAAAAGCAAGTTCCGGTAGGTCCCAGGTCAAGGTGAAGTGGGGAGGGGAGATGTGCAAGTAGCAGGGGGTCCTGCCTTCCTTTAAAATGTCCATTCTATTGTTCCTCATGGTGTCTTGCATTAATTTAAAATTTTTAAAAAGTGCTGCATTGCAATATTGCTTATCTTGGTTACTGAGATTTTGTCCCCTTCCATTCACTGGGAGCCCTCATCTAATCCTGGCCTTGCCTCCTGGGCCACCCCCTGGAGATGGCAGAGCAGTTAGAGCTCACACTGACAGAGTGCTGACAACGGCCAGCCACTGCTGGAAGTGGGCTTGAGCATCACCCGATAAGCCCATAAGGTGGCATTCTAAGAGTCCCTGATTCATGGTTGGCACAGGAAGGGCAGACAGTTTAAGAAACCACCCCACAGTCAGAGCTGAGATGGGATTCCAACCCCATACTCTAGCTGTCACTCCTAAGGACCACCTTGAACTGCCTCTCCTGTCAGATGCCCCGCGCCACATCCCACAGGGCCACAAGAAGACTTGTGCCCGAATATTGGGAGAGGAGTGCATGGCTGGCAGAAGCAGGAAGGATCCAGGGAAGCACCAATGACAGGGGTCGGGGACAAGGGAGTGAGAGGCTGCCCTTCCTCTCTCCTGCCTGCTCCCAGCACCCACGCAGTCTTCTTAGACCTAACCACCACCACCAGCTACAACCCAAACAGCCACAGCCGCAGGACACACGCTCCTTCCCTGCCATACCCATCTCCCTCCTTTGTGAAACCACAGAGCTCCTCATCTTGATTTAGGGGGGCCTCCTCTTACAAAGAGTAATAGCACTTACTCGCACATGTTCAGCACTTCCCTAGTAATATTCTGAATTGGGTGCCAGGTTCTTTACATGCACTGCATCGTTCAATGCTAACACATCTCTGAAGCATTTTAATTCTTGTCATTGTTGTTGTTGTTGTTGTTGTTATGAGCCATTGAGTCAGACCCGACTCATAGTGACCCCTCCTTGGGTTTCCGAGGCAGTATCACTACGGAAGTAGATTGCCCAACCTTCCTTCCGAGGAGTGGCTGGTGGGTTTGAACCGCCAGCCTTCTGGTTAGCAGTCAAGTGCCTTAGGCACTGTGCTACCAGAGTAGGTGGTAACTGAAGCCAGGTGCCCTGGTGCTGGTTAAGAGTTTGGTCACTAACAAAAAGGTTAGAAGTTTGAATCCACCAATCACTCCACAGGAGAAAGATGCACAGTGTGCTTACATAAAGGTGACAGCCTTGGAAATCCTATGGGGCCATTCTACTCTGTCCTATAGGGTTGCTATGAGTCACAATCGACTCTACAGCAACAGCAACAGCAACATTGAGGCTCAGAGAGGTCAAGGATTCTGCCCAAGGCCACATAGCTCTGAAGACTAAACTCAGGGCTGGTCTCAAAGTCAAAGCTGTCTGACCCCAAAGTTCATGTCTAACCAGTAAGAGCTATGTATTCCAAGCTCATTTTCCATACGTCCACCACTCAGATATTTGCAGGTGGGAAATCTGAGGTTCAACGAGTTGAAGTGACTTGCTCAAAGTCACTGAGTTCATCAGTGCCATAATTAGACCTCAAACAAAAGTGTTCTGATTTTGGAGCTACTGTTCTTTCACCCAGGACAACACTCTTCCTCAAACTGTATGACACAGTGAGGAGAATGGACACATACACGTATAATGAAGTCTCACCTACCTGTGGTCCAGCTATTCCCGGGGGCCCTGGGAGGCCTCTGGGCCCAGCATCCCCCTGAAGCAGGGACAAAAGAGAAAGTGACGAATGAGTGGCTGGGCCCATCTCCAGAGTCATCATCAAGCTGTACACCTTGACTTGCATTCACTGATTTCCACTGGGATTTCCCTGAGGTGTTGAGTAGAGTATATAAGCAGTGGTAGAACCCAGTGTGGTTGTGTATTCATGGGTGTAACACACAACTGATGCGGTTACTTGGCATGGTAGCCATGTTCAAGATGGCCCCCAATGACCCTGCCTCCCATTAGTTATATCCTTCTGTAGCATCCTCCCATTTGTACTAGAGTTGGTCTGTGTGACCTACTGAATGTGGCAGAAATAATGGTGTGTGAGGTATAAATCTTCTACCTCGGGGTACTCACTCTCTTTCAGACCATTAGTTCTGAGGAAAACTAGTGACCAAGTCTTGAGCTCACTCACGTAGCCCTGTGTAGAGGTCCACAAGGTGAGGAACTGAGGCATCCAGCCAACAGCCACATGAGTGAACTTAGAAAAGGATCGTTCATCAGTCAAACCTTGAGATGACCAATGAGTGAACTTAGAAAAGGATCGTTCATCAGTCAAACCTTGAG